CCCCAAAACCCCAAAACCCCAAAACCCCACGAATTACCAATTCAAAAATTAAATTATTAACTTATAATAAATAAAATTGAATTAAGTTAGCAAGAAGCAACATGGCAACAAAGTTAACTTCAACTCTAAATTCCCAGAACCAGCAGCCAGGTGTAACTATCTCTACCAGAAGAGGAATCTCAGCCAAGGGTAGAGAAAAGATGATGCAAGCCAGCAGAGAATAGCAACTCAAGCAGTCTAAAAACGAAATTGAAAACCCTCAAAGTGGAGTGACTGGAGAAGGCACTCAAACAATGAATTAAACTAAAAATCTTCTAACCAAAAGAAATAAAAAGCCTGCTTACATGCAGTCACTCAATGAAGCTGAAAAAGCTGAAAACTTCAAAATCATTGACAATATGAGTAAGAAGATCACTTTCTTGAAAAACCCCAGATACGCAATCAATAAAGTACCAATCTTAATGACTTAGGTAAGTCTCCATGAATATAGATTTTGAATAACTGACATTCCCATTTCATTTATTTCCTTTATCGCTTTGTATTAATTGTTAAATACTTAGGCTGGTCAAGGAGCAATCTCAGATAAAAAGAATCCATTCAGAGTAGAGCCTTAGTTAGTGCAGTTTGTTGATTATTAAGTGAATGGACTATATGAAATTCCTCTAAAGATTACAAATGCCTCATAGATCTGCAGGAGAGTCAAGTTCGTCCCACCCACGAGGTAATTTTTACAAATTGTAATCCAATGTTTAGTGAGAATTTTACTCTTAAAAATGTCAAGTATCCAAGCAAGGCAATTGGGGATATTGCACCTGGAATGGCTGTTATCATTACTATTTCATTCTGTGCTCCAAGTTTTGCAGATTTCGATGACTTCTTGACTGTGGTAACTGAGGAAAACTCATTCAAGGTACCACTAAAGGCTAGAAGAGATCCCCCAGTAATTAACCTAGTTAATCCTCTCGATTGCTTACATTCATGGATTGGAGATAGGGTTGATATGGCTTTCAGATGTGTGAACACTGGAGGGGATGGAGGTTTCAAATTCTTCTGTGAAAGAGACGAGGATGATTCTAAACAAACTGACCCTGATACAATAAGAATAGGATCATTTACATTATCTCCCTCTGAGTTTTATCTGTACTCAGGTAACGCTATTGATATCTATGTGTCATTTGCTCCTGATCGAGAAGGACAGCTAGAAGAGAACCTGATCCTAGCTTGTGATAACTAGACCTCTGAATTCTATAAAATAACAGGTTATGGAGCAAAACTCGATCTAGACATTGTAGCAGTTGATGGAAGGGAAGTTGACTTCAAGAAAAATCCATTCTCTACAATGTTCTTTGAGAATACTAACCCTACTTCAAGCACAAAGAGAACCATAACTATAAAGAATAACTCACCAATCCTAGTGCCCTTCCATTGGTCCATATATAAAACTAAAAATACAAATAAAATCATCCTATCTGATGAGCAAACTCACTACAAGGTAGAACCTAACTAAGGTAAAATTCAAGGCAGCCAAACAATTGATTTCGTAATGCATTTTACTCCTGATCATGCTGAGCCTTACTATGAATTCGCTGATCTTATAGTTGAAGACATTCCTATTTAAAGTGTAAGAAATCCTCCTGAAGGATTGAAGATGTTTGCAGCAAATAATCAGTCAAAGTCTAGAATACCTATGCCAACCTATGTTGGTTCCAACACTTAATTCCTTAGTATTCCTTTGATTTAGTTCAATCTAAGAGGGCAAGGTAATTCATGCCAAGTGTAAATCGATCCACCTATCACATTCTTTGAAGGCGATTTGTTCATCAACTATTAATACACTCAAACAGTGAAGCTGAGAAAGGATTATGAAGGAACAGTTAGATATAAGTTGCGTATGGAGGGCAAGAGTAAACAATCTTTCAGTGTTGATGTTAGAGCCTAAGGATACTCTCTATCATCAAACAATGGAGTTATAGAAGGTGAGATTAGAAATGAAAAAGAGATTGATCTTGATGTTTCAATAAGCAGTACTGAATGCGGAGAGTAAATGGCTTACTTCTTCATTGAAGTTTAAGATGGTGCTCCCATCAGTTTCTAATGCAGAGCCAATTTCAGAGGACCTATTGTAAGAGTAATAGAACCAGTAATTGACTATGGCCTAGTGAAGGTGAACACTCTTTAAAAGTTCAGAATAAGCATTGAGAATACTTGTCCTATCTCAAGTGAAGTGATTGTAAAGAATTCCAAAAACAAGAGACTAACTTTCCAGACATTATCTTAATATGAGAAATCTGATTAGATTGATGGAGATCCTTCTGTAGGTGTCTCAAAAACTACTAATGGCAACACAATCAAGATTGACATTCCTTCTTTAACTATTTCACCAAACTCAAGAAGTGAGGTAATTTTAACCCTTGAGTCAATTAAAACTGAATCTGTTGAGGAATTCTTCGAAATCATTGTTAAAGATTCAGAATCTCTTTTCTTTCAAGTCCTAGCTGAGGTTTAAAAGCCTAGAGTTGCTCTGAATAGAAATACAATTGAATTAGGCAGAATCTATGCTGGAGTTACCGAAGTAGTTGATTATGATCATAAGCAATCAATAACCCTGAAAAATTATGGAAACCTACCAGCTATGTTCTAATGGGAAGAGAAAATAGAGTAAGACAGGATAATTGCAAGATTCGAACCAGCAAGAGGCACTATTCCTCCTAAATCTGAGGTTTAAATCTACTTCTCTTCAACTGTCTACATTGGAGGCAATATCAATGAGCTATTTATTTGCAACATAGATGACTTAGAAATACCTCTAGGTTTTGAACTTCATGCAGATGCTTTTGGATTGAATGTGTCCTATGAGATCACAGACGATACAGTAGCTCCTATGAGTCTGACTCAAGCTAGTTTCAAAAACATGACTTAGTCTTAGACTTCGGGATTTGCTGATGGTGACTAACAGTTCTCAATGAAAAGTGGAAGTAATCTTCAATCTGGTGGAGCACTATAGAAGTTATAAAGAGAACTAGAAGGCAAGCAGCTAAAGATGCTTACTTTCCCAAGCTGCAGAATAAACAAGACTTCCAATCAGAAGTTCATACTTAAGAATCTCTCAGGCATTAAGACATCCTTCAAATTTTCCTCAATCATATTTGAACCTATTAGCCATTAAGCCCCAGTGTAAAAGAGCGAAATACAAAAAGCCCAAGAGGAGCAAGAGAGACTTATGAATGAAGAACTTTCTACATCGTCACCTAGTAAAAACGGAAGCCCATTGAAGCCAGGCTAGAAGTAGATCAGATTTGCCCCATCCGCTAAGTCAGGGTCTACTAGATTCGGTAAAAGCTTTGGTAAGAACTAGGAACCAGATAAGAAATGGACTAGAGCTATACTCTCAGATGAGCATGAATAAAATCAAAAGTTCTCATCAGCCACTGGGGAGACATTTACTCAGACTAAGAAGCTTGATAAAGAATAAGGTTTCTTCTTATCAAATAACAAGGGTATAGCGATTGTCTTCAACCCATAAATCGGCGATCTACCTCCTCACTCTGAGGTTCCAATCACAGTTACTATTTATAACAATGTCTGTGGAAAGTTTGATGATAAAATTATTTCTGAAATTAAAGGACTCGGCCCAATTGAGTTCCCAATTAGTATTGCAATTTCAGGAAGTCCGATAGTTATTCCAGTAAATTAGGTAGGATTAAACTATAAAACTATTCCCCCAACTCTACCTATGCCAACAATAGTTACAAATTCTTAGCCAATGACTAAGTAATTCAAGATTAAAAATACAGGTATTCGGTCGGTATAGATAGATTGGAAAATTTTTGATTAGAAGGATCTAGCTCATTCAGATAATGATTACTTTAATCTTTCAATAGCTAAGAATTTCAGTTATGACAGGAAAGATAATCCATTCAAGTTCAACTTTGAGGCAATAGAGCCAGAAGAAAGTCATGGATCAGCGTTTGAGATTCAACCTAAATCAGTCACTGTAGGTCCAAGAGAAACTTCCACTTTTAATGTTACCTTTTTCTCAAACAAGGGAGTTGGAGAATTCAAGTCAGTTGTACTTGCTACTCCAGAGTTATCTTCAGAAGAACTATCAATCGCTGATGATGGTGATGAATTCCTTAGAAAAGGATCATTGGGAATAATATCTCTTAATCTATTAGCGAATACAATCAAGCCTAAACTTGTTATTGATAAAAAGAGTAGATTTGATGGAGAAAATCATCTCAACTTCAAATACTGGTCTATTCCAAATGATTAAAACGCCCCAAATGCTCAATAAAAGATAACCTATACTAATGATTCTAAGGCTGATTTATCTTTCAATCTTTAGATCTCAGGTCCATTTGAAATCGTCAAGTCAAAGACTAATTCTGGGGCTAAACATCCACTAGCCACATCAGCACCTCCATCTAAAAGTAATTTAATGCTTTTATATTTATTTTTTAGTTGTGAAGCAAAAGGTTGAAACAATGTTCTGTCTACAGCCACTTAAGATAGTTGAAATAGATGTAAAATTCCTCGCTCCATCTCCATCAAGTGATGACTGGCCTAACACTATCAAAAATGACAGAGTTGGAGAGCTCATTGCTCACTTCTCTAATGGTGATTCATAAAAGCTAGTATTAGATGGTCTCCTTTTAAGACCTAAGATTGAATTATTGACTGAAAAGCCTTCCAAGAATGATAAGGCTCTCGATGAACTTGACTTTGGCGTAGTCAATGTAGACAAATTCAGAACTATCAGAGTTTTCCTATCAAATATTACTGAGCCCATTTCCAAGTGGAAACTCAACTATGTAGCTTTCCCCAAGAAATCAACGATTGGACACAGTACTACTACTCCTTGGGAAATTGAAAACATGGAGAAGACAGATGATCCAGATGTCTTTGAATTCTCAATAACTGAGGTAAGATTAAATCTCGCTTAACATATTCTAGGGCTAACTAAAAGGAAAATCCCTACCATTAAGAAAAGTACCAGAAGGCTTAAATAAACCTCCAATTGCTAGAGACGAAGAGGAAAAGCAACTAATGCCTTAGACCATACTTATAAACTTTAGAGTAATTTAATTTCATGCTTTTTATTCTCCAAATATAGCCCAAGCAAAATGTTTTATATAAGTCAAAGTTCAGATTTACTGTAGAGAACGGTATATCATGCGATGTTATTCTCAAGGGTAAAGGATCTTACGAAGAAAATCACGATTGATATGCTCAAGAGACAAATAATATCAGATAAGAAGACTCTTTCGCAAATAATTCTTAATAATTTCTAATTACACCACTTTATTAATCATTATTTAAGACATCAATTAGTTCTAAAAATTTTTCAAAGTGGGGTTTTGGGGTTTTGGGGTTTTGGGGTTTTGGGG